CCCCCCCCCCCAAGACAAATGCCTGCCCTTCCAGGGATCGTGTGCTGCTCTCTGTGGAAGAAGCACCTTTGGAGCGTTACCCTAGCCCCGGGGCTCAGGGTCCCCTGGCAGCAGGACTCAGCAATCCAGAAAAGGTGGTGGGTGGGAGTGGAATGCTGGCTTTCAAGGACAGGACCTTGAATCAGCAGTGGCCCTTAGGAAGCTGAACAGACTGGAAATTCATCCTTTGTTTCTCTGTGACCCAGTGGCTACTCCCCCGGCACCACCACGAGCCGGGAGGTTGCTTCTGGGTCGCCTGGGAAGAATGCTGCCTTATCAGCTCTCTGTTTTCTGCAGGACTAGGAGAAGCAACAGGCCAGATAACAGAGGACAATGGATAATATATGTAGGATTTCCATTTGGCTCTGGAATGTGTGTTCACACTGGCAAGCAGGGCACAAGAGTACCCAGAACCCTCCCCCCTCTTCCTGCAACACAAACACATCCTGCTCTGCCTGGCACCGCTCTCTGGCTTGGCCCTGTTATTGGCATCTCTGGCCTGGAGAGGCGGCAGGTGGTGACAGTGCCTGGTGTTTGTACGACCTTTCCCAAGCGTTCACGGCCCTTTGGCAGACGTGACCTCATTTGAACCCCGTGAAGCAGGCAGGTGGCTGGTATGCATGCTCCATGGAAGGTCACCACACTGGCTGCCATGTACAAAGCTCATGCCACATGCCAGGTCCTCTGTAGGCACCTTGCTTATGTTCACTTGTGTAGTCCTACCACAACCCAGCAAGGCAGCTATGTTGCCTCTGTGTTAGTCTCTTGAGCTTGAGTTTCAAGAGAAGTCAAGTAGCTATCCAAGGTCACACAGCCAGAGGGGTCAGAGCTCAAATTCAAACTCAGGACTGTGCAATACCACGTCCTGTCCTTTTCCCATTGAACTATCCTGCCTCCTGCCCAGCTAGTGTGGGCCACATGGTGCAGCTGGGAAGAAAACCTACCCCCAGGGCTCTCCCTCAGCTCCAGGCGATAAGTGTTTGGAGATAAGCAGGGACGCTTTTCATTGGTCACTTGGCTAACGACACTGACTACTTCTCCCTCTCCCCAGCGGGTGACTGGTTGTATCCTCTCCAATGTCAACACACCCTCCATGACGCCTGTGATTGGACAGCCCCAAAATGAGACGCCCCAACCCGTTTACCAGAACAGCAACGTGCCCACCAAGCCTACTGCAGGTAAGGGCACGCTGGGGTAGAGTGGTGGTTCTCAAACTTCAGAGTCACCCGGACAGCTCGTTAAAATCCAGATGGCCAGCTACCACCCCAGAAATTGATTCAGTAGGCCTGGGAAGGGGAAGAGAAGTTGCATTTTTAATGAGGTGATGCTCCTCCTCTGGTCCTGGGACCAGACTTTGAGGACCCTTACTGTAGAGCATCAGAAGGAGAGAGAGGAGAGAAGGGGGTGACAGTGTGCATTTTTCTTCTGTACTTAAATATAAATATAATTGCCTTCACTGATAATTAAAGATTCAAAAAGGAGCATTTTTCTCTGCCATTTCCAAGAGGATTGAAGATTTCGCCTGAGGTCACCCAGTGAGGAAATAGCATGGCCAAGAGTCAAACCAGGCAGTCTGCATCCAGAATCACACACTCTGAGCCACCTCTTCAGTGACAGAGAACAGGGGGCTCCCAACACTTACCCAACAACTAGTACTGTATGCCCGAACACGGCTCAGTGCTTTCCATGGTTTCTCATTTAATGCAGTAATTCTGTGATATAGGTATTATGCTCCCATTCACAAAGGGAAAACTGAGATTCAGAGAAGGCAAATGATTTGTCTAAGGTCACACAGCTCAAAAGTAGAAGAGCCAGAATTCATATTCAGGACTAATTCCAAGGTCTATATTCTTTCTAATATTCAGGGCAGTTGCAAGAGACAGATCCGATCCCCCAAAAGAATTACTTTTCAAGCCTAGAGATCATAAGTTGTTATATCTTTAGTCTCTTATAAACAGGGTAATTCACAAAGAAGAACCAGAATTTCATAGTTTGCATACAGCTACATGTGGGGGTTCAGAAAAATTTTCTGGATTAGAGCTCAGAGAGATCATTGAAAACCATATCCCTCCCAGCCAAAGTATGTCTGATTGTTCTAAAGACCATGTGCAGGGGAAGGAATGCCGTTGCCCAGCAGAAATTATTTCACATAAGTTCTTTGCCACCCGCCAAGTCTCCTTGAATCTGGGTGTTAGTGTTCAGTGATGGGAGTGGCTAAGGAAATGCTCGTGGTATTAAAAAATGAAAAAATCAAACAGCATATATCCCCTTTAAATGTAGAAAATGATCAAACTTGTTATGTAGACATGTCTGCATAATACACATTTTAAAAAATGGAAGAAAATAAATAGTATGTCAATATATTAGTGGTGGTTATCTCTAGGGGTGGAATTATGAGTGCTTTTTGTTGTCCTCTTCGTTTATTTTCCAATTTTTCAACAGTATAATAAATATGACCAGAAAACAGATTTCAGTCTATGGCTCAAAATGCTTGTGCCTTGGACTATGAATGAGAAGGAATTTTGCTGCCATGTTTCTGTTCTTTTTCTCTACCCTCCTTTTACCCCCACCACCCACCCCACCCCCGTTGTTTACAGTGGCCCAAATGCCGGGCTGACACAAGTGTAAGTTGTGAGTCGTTCTCTCCCTCTCTCCCCGTCTGTCTTGCTCTCTCCCACAGCCAAGATCTTGGGAAAGGTGGGAGAAAGCCTAAGCCGGATCTGCTGTGTCCGCCCGCCCGTGGAGCGCTTCACCTTCGTGGGTAAGGGCACGGGAACCTCTTTCCCCGTCCTGTCGGCTCTTTCCTCCCTCCCTTCCTTTGTCCAGCAAACACCCCCCAGCACCTGCTATGGGGCGGCCACTTACAGAGCGACCATTGAGAGGAAACAGGTGAACGGGAATGTCTCTAGGCCTGCAATGCCAACCTGTTTTGAGAGTCCAGAGGGCATGATCACTGGGCCGGGGGCCACCTGGGAGACCTCAGTGGTCATGTGCTCATTTCCCACCCTCCACAGACAGTTCTGTATGCCTAAGAGTTTTCAGGGGACCCAGAACACTCCCTCAGGTTCTCCCCGCTCTGGCAGTATCTGTGCTCTTGCCAATAGACTAAGAACGTACATGCTCTTCCTTGAATTTTGTATTTTGGCTGCTTCCCCATGGCCTTAGCATGGATGAGAATATCAGAGTCCTTGGGGCTCTTTCAGAGGCCCCAGATCCAGCTCTGCAGAACTGCTGAAGGGCTAGACCTCATTCTTTTGATTCTTTGGGGCCAACTTCCACGATTTCTGAGATTTCCAATTTCAGTCATGTTGAAAGGGACTCAGAGAGATGGTTGAAGAAAGGAGGCAGGGTACTCAGATGGTATCTCTGTGGTTTTGTGCCCACTCAGGAGCATGTGTCAAGGGCTCTCTCTCACGTCTTCCTCTGGCCCTTGCTGCATTCTGCCATGTGAAAAATCACAACATGCTTAGTTTTACTTATTCTTTAACCTCTCCCTAAGGGGAGAGGGACACCTCCTTTTGACTCTACAAGCTGTCTCCCTAGGGTGGGGGGACCTCGCTTTTGTGGCCAGCCTCCCTGATGTACAGAAAGAAACAGAAGGCGCTCAGCATGAGTGTGCGTGTGCTCGTCACTGGCTCTCCAGCGAAGCCGTCTGATTCTGAAAGTCCTCCAAATGTGAAGGCGTGCCCTGGCACATGAGGAGAGGCTCCCTCTCCATTCCAGGCTGGCCTGTGCTCTCCATTCACTCTGCTCAGATGCGCCCTGTGCAGGGAGGCAAGCGGCCCTCCCTGACTCTCCCCAGCCCATCCCACGTACTCCTCCCAAGGAGACCCTTGGGTGGACCATGTGTTGGGAAGCCGGTTCCCTAATGCTTCTGCCCTCCCTCTTTTCTCCCTAGATGAGAATGCCAATCTGGGCACTGTGATGCGGTACGAGGAGATTGGTGAGTGGGGCTGGGAAAGGGGGGGCATTTGAGCCACGTGCCTCCACCATGAACAAAAGCAGGAGGAAGCTGATGCTACCTTCGCAACCTCCATGCAGCCTTCGGTGAAGGTGAAGGCATCTACTGCCTGTGTGAGGCCATGCAAGCCGAAGGCCAGAGCAGGTGGAGTGTTACGCACAGCCGTCAGATAGGAAGTTACTGGAAGTGGGCGGAGTCCTGGGTAACCCTGAGAAGCAAACCAGAAATCTTCCCAAGGTTCTAGAGTGGGTGAGAGACACAAGTGGGTGACCCACATGTCTGAAGCTGATAAACATCAGACAGATGCCAGAATGGAGCTGGAGCTGGCACAGATTCCAGGTGCCAAGCAGAGTCAGTGACAACTGGAATGCCTGGATCTCTAGGATAAGGGGCAGCCTGGTTTCCTGCAGGCATCTCAGTCTTATACTTGCAGCTGCAAAGATACTCCAGGCCCACTCTCCTGGTATTACTCTGTCTGAGGCTGGAGGTCATTGGCTCCTGCTGGGATCCTGGGAGGTATGGGGCTGTATCTGAGCATCAGGTTCTCCCAGGAGGCCCAGCAGATGTGACATCATTTCAAGGGGCTTCTCTGGGTCTTGTCCTCTGACCCGAGATGCAGTGGTGTTCCTGAGCTGGCTCATACTGGTTTGTTAGAACCACTTGAAAGCTTCTTAGGAATTTTGCCAACCAATTGTTAAATGCAGCCCATACTAAAAATCAAAGTATATTAAGTAACAGTTAAAATAAATAAATTGTATTACAAATGAAGATAATGAGTACTCAAAACTCCTCACTTCCTAGTTATTTTACCAATGTTAATACCCTTTATTCCCCAGCACATCACAAAAAAAATGACACCTGGCCTCCTGGTTGCTCCCCAAAGCATCTGGCTCCAGGCTCCACAGCCCCAATTCCCCAAAAGGCAAGGATGGGAGCAAAAGCCTCGCACTCCCACTTCCCTGCGGTCCCACACCTGGCCAGAACTACCTTCCCGGAGAAGTCTGGAGCAGCAGAGCTCAGAGCAGTCTGCCAACTTTTACCTGTATTCCACTGTATATTTCTCTCACTCTTTGTTCCTGAAACAATGTATTGTGGCCAAAGAGGTTCAGCTGTGACCTTGTTTACCTTCCCAGCAGGCAGGGCGAGTGCCCTGGGGAGGTCCCCCTCCTGCTGGGAGGCCAGGCCAGTGGTATTTGCACAGCACTGCTGCATGCCCCATGCCCTCAGGAACATTTTCGTGCTGGGGGCAGAGCTGGTCTCAGCCCCATCTTACTCTTCTTTCAGAGAAAGGAAAGCCGGGTGGCTACAGCTGTCAGGATGGATGCGTGGCCTGCAGTGGTACAGGTGGCGGCTGCCTCGGTGTGCAGGGGGAGCTGGAAAAGGCCGCAGGGCTGGGCTTCACATAGCCAGGATTCCTGGGAGGGGAGTGTGGCAGCAGAGCGCTGATTCTGGCTCCCAGCCCTGGATGCTGGGATCAGAGTGAACTGGAGGAGGAGGTGCAGCTGGAAGGTGGCTGCCCTGCCGCTGCCAGACTGTGGAGCTGTGGGGCCCTCTGGTTCACGCATCCCCTTTTTTGATATTCCTTTGCACACTTTACAAGAAGAAAAGCCCATTTTCTCCTAGCTTAGCATCTATGGCGCCTTTTCCACGTTCTTAAGCAGCTGACTGCTCCTGGTGGGCTGCCCCAGACCAGAGGCGTGCATCCGTCCCGTACAATAAACCGGGAGAAGTCACTGCTGCCCTCCAGTGGCCACACATGGGAGCCTAAGCCCTGCTAGGGCCTCTGGTCTGGGACAGAGGCATCTGTTTGGCCTACAAGAAAAAGTGGAGACCCCACTCTTTAACCTTCTGTTCTTTTCCTTAAAAAAAGGGAATCCAACATTATACTTGAAGGGGAAGTAAGTCTCTGGCCTGGGAATAGACAAGCAAGTCATTTTCGTGGCTGCAGAGCAGGGGTTCTCAACTGTGGGCTACTGATAACTGGGGGTGGATAATTCTCTGTTGTGGGGGTCCCGTGTGACCTGCGGGACGTTCAGCAGCTTTCCTGCCACCTAAGCACTAGATACTAATAGCACAACCCCCTCTCCAGTCCTGATAACCAGAAATATCTCCAGACATTGCCAAATTCTGGAGACAAGATGAGTGAAAGCCATCAATACAGAGAAAGATGAGGGCCAGCACGTCCTCTGGACAAGGCTGCCTAGTTCAACTGTTAGGCAACCAGAGTTACAGAGTCTCAGCCTTTCAACAGAGAACTGACCTGGAACTCTGGGTGGCTCCAAGTAGGGGATGGAGAGCAACAGGATTCCAGGAATGAAGCCCGTCTGGCTTCTCTCAGCCATACCAAGACTGGTTCATTTCCTCAGATGGGGAGTTGGGCCAGCAATCCAATGGTGTGACATGGAGGAGGCAATCACACTAAGTAGGACAGACATTTCCCCCAGGGCACCGATGCTGCAAGAGCAGGGTCACAGCAGCCAACACCGCCCTGCCCCATGTGGCTCTTAGCCTGTCTTCATGGCCTCTGTGGTTAGCTCGTCTGTTGTTCACTTATTCACTACGTCCTGAGCACCTACTGTGTGCAGGTCACTCTGCCAGGCCATGGGGATATAAAGATAAATTAAGGTCCCTATGCATAAACAGATCACTAGGCTACAGTAGGACATGGAGAAGAGAGGAGAGGCTGCAGGACTATTTCAGAGTTAAGACTGCAGTGCTCCATGGGGCTCCTGAGGATAGGCTGCCAGGGTGGGATGGTGAGGTGGATGGTTTGTCATCAGCCCAGCAGCCTGCCACCGAGCCATCTGGAAACCCCTGCGTCAGGAACAAGCTCGCCATCTGAAGGTCTGTCAGGTCCCTGAGCTACCTGTGGGGCCTAAGGCAGGCAGGCAGGGCTGTCGGTCATCTCAGCCTCAGGTCCAGGGTGGCAGTGGTCTCTGAAAGACTCGGCAGGGTGGTCTTACTCTCTGACAAGATGCCCACAGCCTCGGCCTCTTGAGGAGGGCCGGGGATGCCTGGGAACCAAACACACCACCCTGAGCCATGCCCCCAGCAAGGTCCCTCCCCAAATGTTTCCAAGGATCCCAGGATTCTTCATCCCCATTGCTCGGTTTTAATGAGCAAGTCAGTTTCCTGCCTGTTCTAAACGATAATGGGCCTCCCTGGGATAGTTCTGCATGGATTTAATGAAGGAAGAAAAACAACTGACAGGCAGGAAGTGTGCCTGGGAGCTGGGGCTCGGCCTTGCTTCTCAAGCCCTTTGCTGAAGGCAGTGGCCATGTAAGAGAAGACATCTGATGGCCTCAGCTGCCGCATGGCGTGCTCAGTGTGCCCTTGTTCTCCCCGCCACGGCAGCGCTTGTGATTCTAGAGACGGATCTGGGGTGACACAGGGCCACAGAGAAGCCGAACTCCGCTGATACTTGAGTTCAATACAGAACAGGGAGAGAGGCCTTTAGACCTTAGACAAGACACAGCCGGCTCGGTCTCTGTTAGGATGCCCGACCATCCTGGTGTAGCACTGACATTCCTGTGTCCCCAGAAACCCCTCGGTACCAGGCAAACCAAGACTCCCTGAAGTAATTCTTCTCACAGGGGAAGAGGCTGGTTGGAAGGCGAGCCTGAGGGAGAGGCCAGCAAGGTTTCTGCACCGCACACACTGTGGTGCCGGAGTGCCTGGAAGATCTGGGCTCTGGAGTTCACTGGGGAAGAACAATTCCCAGGTCCCCACTTACGCCCTTTGCAAACTCTGTTCCCTCTCCATAGAGCTGCGGATCTTGCTGCTGTGTGGCAGTGACCTGCTGGAGTCCTTCTGCATCCCAGGGCTCTGGAACGAGGCAGATGTGAGTAGCCAGGCCACCACAGCTGGCATGGGGAAGGGTGGGGAGGGTGCACTTGATTTTGGCCTCTAGTCTTCCCACTCCCTGTGGCCTCCATCCCCGCCCTGAGGCTCTCACCCACTATGAGCTCCCAGAAAGGTAATCCCTTCGCATCACTGTGGAAGGGAATTGCCACCTACCCCAAAGGTCATCCTACTGCATTTTTACACTCCTCATGCTTGCTCTGTGAAGCCTGGCGTGGCGGGGCAATCTGAGCCATAGAATACCTTCTCCAAGTAGTGCTTGAGGCGGTAGGGGAGTGGGGGTGGCAGAGGGTAGCCCAGGAGGGAAGGCTTAAAAAAAATCCTTTATCCTTTTGAGATTGTTGTGTCTTTTATTTGTTTTTGATTCCTTTAGAAAAGGTACCACCCTAGAATTCCCTCAACAAGAGAAAAGGGTCCAAGTTAATGGCAAAAGGTCAGGAGGATCCTTCTGGCAATTGACTTGGGATAGAGGGAACCAAGAAGTTAAATTTACAAAACTTAGAAGCTCAGTTGACATCTTTTGCTGCCAGATCTGACTGTGATGGCCTTAAACCAGCTAATTTATAAGTTAATCACCCTTAATAGATACATTCATTCTTACTCTTTCATTAATTAATTTGATTGCCTGAGCTAATGCTAGCTTCTAATCCCATAGCCCTGCGCAAGTTGGGGTCTCCAGGCAGCCATTCCATACCTAGTGCTTTTTTATTGACTTGCTATATGATCCTGTGCAAGTCACTCAACTCCTCTGGGCCTCAGAGCTTTTTTCTCAGTTTTATTGATATATAATTGACATATAACATTATATTGGTTGAAGTTGTACAACATAATGCTTTGTATATGTATGTCTATACTGTGAAATGATAATCACAATTAGTTAACATCCATCACCTCACATAGTACAACTTGTTTTTTTAAAAAAATCTATAAAATTGATAGAATGTTATCTATAGCATTCTGAGATTTTAAGGAAATATACAATACAGTCCTTGCCCCCAGGTATTAGGTGGCAAGACACACATATGACATTTTTTCATGTGCATATACATGTCTCTGAGAGAGAGAGGGACACTCTTTAGGATCAGAATCAAGATTCCAGTTTTACTCCAACACAATTGCTGGCAAAACAGATTCTGAGCATCAGTTTTTCCCATCTCTAAAATGAGCATAATAATTTACCTACCTTTGTACGTGGTAATGGTCTGGATGGGAATATCTCAAAACAGATGGCTTTTGCCTCAGAATATAAACAAGAGCCAAGCATTGGAATTTGTCTCAGTAAATATCATCAGTGAAATATAGTCAATAAATAAACAAAAGTGACTAATAAAAAAAATGTACCTACCTCGGATTTCCAGAGAATTAAATGAGATTGTCTATGTGAAATGCCTAGCCTAGTGCCTGACACAGTTACATGCAGTAAAGATTAATAAGTGCATTTACCTAAAAAACACATAGATGTCCACATATATATTCCAAGTGAAGAGCATAAATGCTAACATGCTGTGGTATAACCAAGAGGGGAGAATGAGTTTCCACAAAGCAAATTATACTGTGTAGTCCTTCCATCTCTACCTCTGAACAATTTCCTGCAGGTGAAATTCTAAACCTCCTTTCAGTTCTGGATTAAGTGGTTTAATTAACTTTTACTTCCCTGTACTTCACAAGCTGCTGTGGAAGTAAAAAGTAATGGGAAAAATTCTGTACAAGATCTCAGCAAAGCTCGAACCCCTGGGGAGGCCGGGCAGACCTGGAGGGATTAAGGTGCAGCGGGGGCAGCAACCTGAGGGGCCTGAGGGGTGAGCAGGGAATCTCTCTAGGGCCTCCCTCTCAAGGGAGCCTCAAATTTACAGGTTGGGGCCCTGGAGGCACAACCAGCCCCTTCTTGTTCCTCCCAGTTAGATTCCTCCTCTTGATTTCTCTCTAAAATGGCAGCTCTGGATGTTGTCAGATCCCACTCAGAGACCATGAAAAAGGGCCCAGGTCTTCTCTTCCGGTTGGTCCCTGGTGCTGAAATGGCCTGTTGGTTAAGACAGAAAACGAGAGAAGCCAATGGCTGTTGATTTGCTGGGAGTGTGACAGTGGAGGTGGAGAAAGACCCTCATCTATTCAACCATTCCCCACTTAGCTGGTCACCCTGGCGTTCCGGAGCACTCGGCCTGGCAGGTGCTCCCGGAGGGCACACCAAGGGGCCAGCGGGGACCACATGCCATGCAGAGTGGTGCGAATTCCAGTCCACAGCACCAGCAGCCGGGGATTTGGGCCAAGCAGACGCCCAAAGCTCACTCCAGAGGCTTTCTGGGGCCATTTAGAGCTCTCCCTCCTCGTTCTCACCCAGCCAATTGCTCCATCCCCTCATTTAACCCACAGCCAATCTGTGAGGTCCTTAGAATTATGGCACCTGAAGTAGAGGCAAAAAAAAGTCAAGGAGCTATTTCCTTACATAATTAGTGTGACTCTCAGCCTACAACAGAGGTGTGCCAGAAATACCACATGTGGTTTATTTAAATCAAATTAAAATTCAACTCCAGATCTCCATTCCACAGGAATGATGAGTAGTCTCAGGCATTACTGACTAGCAGAGGCCAAGAGACTTTTGTGCGCGAGCCCTGAACACAAATATCAGCTCTTCAGGGTCCCCACAGGCAGCTCCCCTAATGTGGGCCTTCGTGGTCCCTTGAAGTTGGAGGCACTTTGCTCCATTCCCCCGTGGGCACAGGACTCCCAGCTAAGTCCGGAAGCCCAGAGCTGGGCCCCACCCACCTGTGACCGCCAGTCCATTTTCTTCTGAGGCTTTGCCCCCAGGGTGCTGTCTGGGAGGGAGGAGAGGAAGATCTAGCTTCTTTCTAGTGTGGAAGTGGGAGGGTGGGGAACAGGAAAAGCTCTTTTTGCTGTTCTGAAGGTATCTCCCTGTCTTGTCAATGGGTTTCAGTCCCGGATAAGTTCACTATGGATTCAATGGGACCGAAAAAATGACAATGGAACGTTTTTGGGGCAAAAGGGTGTATATGCAATTTTATTCCCACGGTAGCATGTCAATCACTAGAATCCACTCAGAGCAAGTCTGCATGCAGCAAGCCAGTCTGTGCCTCTGCGCCTCTCCATCACAGCCTCCTCATCTCTGTGCTCAGCACTGCAACCCCTCCAGTCTCTGCTCTCCTGAAGCCATGCAGCCCAGAGCCCTGGGCAGAGCTGTTTGTATAGAGTCAATAACAACGTATTGCCCACATGCGTACAGTCAGCAAGCCAACCAGAGTCAGGTGAGGATCCTGGCCATAGGAACCCTCACTTTCTCCCTACTTCCCTATTTGCTCTCTCCTTCTCAGGACATCTAGTAAAATCTCTTAGTTTAAAGCCACTGACTCCAAACTATTCTATTTTCCACCCTGCAAATTAAAGGGCAAGGTCTGGTAAAGGATCTGGTTCTCTGCTAGACATAGGGTTGGGGTCAGGCAAAGGGTATAAAGGGATCACAAAACTAGTTAGTAACTCAGTTAATTATTCCACCGTCCTCATTTGGGGATGTTTGGATCTCAGGGTCTAGAAAAGGAAGCTCTTTCTTTTAAGACTAGGCATTGGGTGAGCCCTGCTTATTCTACTAGAAAGTTCTATCAAGAAGTTGCCTAGAAGCAGCCCATTTTAGAGTTTTCAGTGCCTAACCATGAGGTTACGAGGGTTGAGGTGCATACAGGTCAAGGGCTTCTATCCCAGGTTTCGTTCATTCATTCAATCTTTATCAGATGCATTTCTCTTTACTGCCTCAGGTCCTGAGTGATACTTGTTGGCTACAGACCTCTGCTCAGTGGCTCCACATCCTGGTCTCCCATGTCTTCTCCAGAATCCTCAGAAACAAGGCAGGAAGGAAGTCACTCATTCAAACAACTCTGGGCAGAAATTGGAGCCTTTCTACCCTCTGCTAAGAAAGCTCAGAGGGGCCGTAGAGAGGATTTGCCCCCAGCCAGGCTGGGAAGCCGCTGAGACAGTCTGTTCCACAGCAGGACTGCCAAGCTTCCTCCAGCACAGGCAGAAACTCTGCTGAGCTGCTCTTTCTCCTTTCATTTGGATTCCTGGGTCCATGCTCTCCATCCAAAAATTGAATTACCAACTAAAGGCACGGCCCACCGCCACCCACACACATCCCTTGGGCATTTCCGATTTGGCAAAAAGATCCATTAACCCTCAGTGAATTCTAACCTCCTCTGACCAGTAATGCACCCCTTCGCCTCACATTCCATGGGAGAAAAAAATGCCATACATATTCATCCAGCTTCTCTCCACTGAGTACAAAAAAGCTGTCTGATGGCCTGGCAGTTGGCCTTCTCATTCTTGACTCATGAAAGAAATCAAGATCCAGATTCCTGGACTAGCCTTGGAGGTTAGGACCCAGTCCCCCTAGCTCATCCCCCTCCCGGATTTTTTATTAGATAACTAGGCTTCCTGAGGAGACCTGATCTTGGCTGTGCTGGGTCATAACCGCACCACCAAAGCAGGTATGCAGGCATGGGCCAGGGTCTGTGGGAAATCAAGGCCACAGGATAATGGCTCAGCATGGACAGATTTGTGAAGAGGGAATCTTTTATACTCCCCTCCTCCAAACAAAGCCCAGGGCCTAGGGCTCTTATGCTGCCAGCCGCTTTGTCCATCATATTATAACAGGAAGGCAGTCTGGCAAATGAATTCTGGTTCAAGCATTCTTTCCTTCAGTCAGTCTTTCAAGTAAGACCTCTCAAGTGCCTGGTGTGAGCATAAGAACAGTATTTGTCCTTCAGGCACAAAAATATCTTACTTTTTTATTATATTATTATTTTTTATATTACATAAAATAAAACATGTAAAAGGCATAGAAGAATTCCTGAACTTAGTAAGCACTCAATAAATGTTGTCTGTTATTAATTTATTGGTTTTAAAACCTCCATTGAGTACCTAGCGTGTGCCAGACATTCTTCCTGGGCCGAAAGAAAGAGAAAACAAAATAGACAA